GCATGTGTATAGTATTTACTGCAAAGCACGACCTGTGTGCAGCAGGGGAAGGAATGCCTGAGCAGGAGGAGTAAATGACTATCGCAGGCAGAAAACCCACCGCAATTCATGCATCACGCAAATGGTTGTGTATATTAAAGCAATGAGGACAAAGGGTATTGATTTAGCACAAGTATCAAGAGTCCCAGGTGCTAAAACCTGAAGAAATACAAACTGTGCTGGGCAGAATAACAACAAAACGAAATGATAAAAGGATATGAGTGTTTGAAAAGACGCGTAGGACGGGCTATAAATTCTAATAATCCATATTTCTCGAAAGCAGCAGCTATTGACTCAAAAACAAAAGAGCAGGCATTGTAATGTAACAAATGTCAGACGGGATAGCAGCAGGAATTCAATTTGCTCTGGCCATATATCAACTTGAAACTTAATGTAATGGCACGTAGTTAAAGCTGCACCCTCACTTAATGGCTATTACCAGTCCTGGGTGGGTTTTCCAGCAAGCATAAAGCAGTGAGTAATTGGCTCTGCTCTGCCTGCATCACTGCTAATGAAAAAACGCCCTGCTATAGCCTGGCAGCAGCAGGAGAAGGGGAAGGCAGGGGACCCAGGCAGAGGCAGGCAGCGGTAGAGCTGCCAAGAGCTTGTCCTGCCAGGATCCTGCGAGAGAGCTTCAGGAAACATCTCCGAGTCTCTGCTGACCAGCATCTCCCTTGTATGAAGGGCTGGCTCTTTAAAGCAGCAGCCCAACACCCCTGTTAGCCTCTTGTGTGAATAGCATTCGGGTCCACTGGAAGAAGAAGAGGAGAAACCCTGGATGGTTACACCTCATCCAGCTCCTAAGCATGCACTATTTATTACTACTCGGGCAGCGGCTCTGCAGTCAGCCAATTAAGGCTATTGTAATTACTTCTCTTCAGCGACTGCAAACGGCCGAGTTAAACGACAGATTTCCCATTCAACAGTTACTGCTGCTGCTGAAGTGAAGAAGCAGAAGTGTGTGCATTGCTGAGAATATGCTCTGACCATATGTTAGAGGCAAGAGATGCTCACCGAATGGATGGAAGAGGCGGCGGCAGGGGAGGAGGGAGGAGGCCTGGATGTGGGACAGGAACCTTTGCAGCAATGAAGCATCCAAAGCAATCAAGGAAGGGCAAAGATGTAAAGCAGTCCTCATAACTTTACTGCAGATGGGTAGGGGCATTCCCAACAGGCACACGGTAGTTTCTACCAAGAGCAAAGCTTACAAAATGCCACTCCATATTTGATGCGGTTTTGGAGCAACCAGAAATAAGACCAGCCCCTGGGAGAAGCTCTCAGGTCTGTCATTGAGCCCAGCATGGTGGGAGAGGACTCAGGGAGGTGACACAGCCAGTCTGGATTGTGCCACGCTGCCCCAAGACATCAGCTGGGTCTCCATGCAGACAGGCTGAGCTGAGCAGATTGTGACTCTGGTTCTCAGGGTCTCCAGCCACGCTCCCCAGGGAAGGAGGTGCTCACATTGCTGACAGCTTTCCTGCATCCATTCATGGGTGAGGACACAGCTGGGCCGTGACACCACAGAGAAAAGGTCAGGAGCCCAACTCTCATGCTTAGCACAGTGCTTGGTGTCAGGCTCAGATGGGAGGGAGGAAGTAGATTCTAGGGCTGATCAAAAAGGCAACAAATGTTTATGGAGCAGAGGAAGCTGAGTGTGCCCGTGGGAATCAGACCTTACATGTGAGAAAGCAAAAGGGGGAGTGAGTTTGCACAAACCCACAGCCCAGATTAAATCTTGTCTTTGAACCCTGAGTTCGAGCAACAGTATCTGTTTTAATGCCTACAGGCCTTGCTTCCCTCAGCAATCTCAGCCATCACTCTCCTGTGACTGACAACTCTAGGAATGAATCTCTTTTGAAGCTGACAAAACTCACTCTGAACTGATTTCCTCTGGAGCTCTATTTATCTGAGGCTGACACTGAGGAAAGCTGCTCGGAAGCAATCAGAGCTGATAGCAGCCACGTCTGTTTACTCCCCAGACCTGCACTGATGCAGCAACAGCCACCAAGCACGGCCAAAGGCAGCCTTGGCAAGAGCAGCGCATGCCAGGAAGCAGAGAGCTTCCTGTTCCCCAGTCCCTTCCCCTCTGCAGGCCAACACGCTGTGGGCACAGCCTCAAGGGCACCCAGGGCAGGCTGCCTGGCAGAGGGGGACCCAGCTTGACTCACAACACAGCAGCTGAAAATATTCCCGGCGTCTGTTTTACAGTGCCATAAAGATTTTATGCACTGCGTTTAGCCTTGTGTCTCTGCATTCATCGCCTTAAATGCCGAGCATTTTACTTTAATGCCATGGTGGCTACAAGCAGGAATACTTAACTTCAATAAATAAGAAGTAATCACATTTTCCCAGTGAATGGATTGAAAATGGCCACTGGGAGAGTTCGCCTTCTGAAGTTCAAGGCCTGGGGCTGTCGCTGGGGGTTTCCAGCAAACTGCAAACACTGTGGAGCATCTCCAGGAAAAAAAAAAAAAAAGTATGAATAATAAAGCATATGCATCTTTTAATTGAGAAACTGGTCTGTAGCTGGGGCACGGCATGCTTGTGCCCAAAAGCCAGCATTAAACATTCGGATTTAGGCAATGGAGGGAAAGAGGGCCAGAAGCAGATGGACTCAAACTCTATTGCATTTGTGAGTAAAATCTACTGGAAAAGCACATTAGCGTTCCTTGGGAACTAGAGCATTTCATAGAGGAACACACACACAGAAGAGCAGCTTCTCAAGTGAGTCCAGATTACTCCAACAGACTGGCAGGCACAGCTTCTGCAGGTATCTGACTAACTTTATCCAGGCTTTAGATGCACCTCTTTCATCCACCTGGAAGCTCCGGCAACACAATCAGCTGAACACCTCTGGGTGCAATACTGCTCCCTTGAGGCAGGAGCAGGACCAGCTTACAAAGCCACTCTTCAGCTTGCAATCTAGATGTTCACTGTTAGGAAGAGCTCAATGTCTCACAGAATCACAGAATTGTAGGGGTTGGAAGGGACCTCCAGAGATCATCGAGTCCAACCCCCCTGCCAAAGCAGGTTCCCTACAGCTATGTCGCATGAGATAACAGCTTCACTGCGGCACACAACCAGAGTTTTACCAGGAAAGGAACGCAGAGTAGGTTAGCAGTGTATTAATCAAGTATATCTGAGATGATCTTCTGTAAGAAGACTTGATCAAGAAGGTAAAAACCTAACCAAACATCTCCTGACAACGTCAAAACGCTTTGACTCTTCGATAGGTTCACGTATGGTAACTGTATCATACCTCCTCTCTCCAAACATGTTTCCCTCCTCTCCCTGCCTCTCATCCAAAAGACAAGAACAGGGTGAGTAGAGATGGTGCCTAGGAGAAGGCAACACTGGTCCCAGCTGGAGACATTCTACTTGCAGTTCCCAGATTACTAGACTCCAAAACCACATGAAGGTTCCTGAAGCTTTAAACTATCAGCTTCACTAAATCATTCCTGAATTATTTACTGTGAGACTGTAGAAGAAGAAACTGAGATGCTGGTTGGCTTGCAGCTGTGCTCTGCAGCTCACCCATGGCACTTATTCCCAGCCGCAGGAGACACTAGGAATTAGGATGTGGAGATACAAGACGCAAAGCTCATTGCTTTCTCCACCTCACTTCTCATTACAGCAAAATGACAACGTGAAGGCACCAGTTTTGTCCCGTGACTGATGGTCCATCACCAAACACGACAAGACTTTCATTTTCCTGCAGCAATCAAGAGATCTTCAGCAGACCCCTGCTCAGTTCTCCTCAACTCTACGTGATGAACCACAAGGTCTCTCACTGCAGCTTGCACAACATCACCCAGAATACCTTGCGTGCCTCCCTTTGAAGCTGCGACCTGATTACCATAAGCAAGGCACTGCAGATGTACCTCTGCAAGCCCAGAAGCACCAGGGGAAATGAATATATTAGTATTTATCATATTAATGCAGATCAAGCTGGGTATTTGTTCTGACATTTCAATAATAGCTTTTTCTATTTTTTTTTTTTTTTTTTTTAGGCAGAAGCTTGTATTTTCTTCTGCTTTAAATAATTCATTGTTACATTAAACTTATTTTAAATTGGGGTCTTTTTTTCATCAAACCAAAACTTTATTTGGATGGCCAAAGGGGAGAAAAAGTATAAATGAAAACTCTCACTTTTCTCTCCTCCCTTCTTTCATTCCCTCTCTTTTTTCTCTCTTGTTAAAATCTCTTAATCAAAGTGACAATCTGTCTTTCCCAGGAAGGAAGCTGGTGCCTTTGAACAGTGCTGCTCCAATAGCTCTCTGCTTTGATGTGGGATTTAACTTCTGCCTTCAGCAATCTCAAGTGCCTGTGTATGCATGCGCTGTGTGTCTATGTGTACCCATGTGTGCTGCTGTACGTGTCACTGCTGCACATACACATCCTAACCCAGCCCCAAAAAAGAGAAAGGGAAGGGAAAGACAGAAAATGCCATGACTACACGTGGCAGTGATGTGATCCCTGCGGAGATGCTGTTGAGCACAGTTCAGAGGGATCCTTGTTCTAAGCCTTTTCCCACAGAATTTTTCAGTGACATCTTCAAGCCCTTCCATCTTGCTGTTAACCCTTGCTGTTAACTTCAGCAAACACAGAGCAGCCTGTTACAAGAGACTGACACCCTATAGAAGGGCAGGTATGTGCTGGACCCTGTTCTTACAGTTTGAGGTCCTTCTGGACAATGGCTACAGAATGATGTGTTCACATCCAGCATGTCCCTATTCTCATCGTACTCTCTCCTGCTTTGGCAATTGTTTCTGTCTTCCTTTCCTTTAGCATTCCTGATCTCAGTACTGGCTCTGGGGAATAACAAGGTCTTTATCTTGTTACTCCACTCTGAGGTACAGCACAGCTTTGTCTGGTACCGCACCGGGATGAGCTTTGATCACAGGAAACACAAACTGAGGCTTGAGCCAATGGACTCCCTTAAAAGGTTGAGCTCACCTTGCTCTCCATGGATCCAGACAGCATCTTCTTTCCATCAGCACGGGCTGCTGCCCATTGCAGTCTGGCTGCCCCAGTGCATGGTTTGTTGAAGGAAGGACATCGCAGAAGCTGAGAACGAAGCAGAGCTATTGACATCTTCCCATTTCACAGCCAGAAAGTTTCCTCCCTACCACGTAAGAGAAGCACAGAGTGCTGCTATGCTATGATTTTACCGTGGTTATTTATCAAGTAATTCCCCAAGACCTCCACTCCTTTTCTAGTAAGTGCCTTCTAGGATTTCACCTTCCCAGTCAGTACTGAGACCTTTCTCATCCTTCAGAAAAGTTTGTGGTCTAAGCAAATCAGATCTTTTGGTTTTGTGTACACTGGAGATTCTACAGGTGCTTCTACTTACAGAGAGTCTTCCCCAGTGGTTTCCTCAAGCAGCAGACCAAATGTATAAACACTTTACAAAATAATGAACAGCATGAACCTCAGAACTACAAATCTCTAAAGCAACTCTCAGTTAGAGAGAACAAAACCTCAACAAAACAGAATCCAGTTGTGCCTCAAGTTTCCTCTGCCAGAAGTCATTCTTCAGAATAAAGCTGGTGTCCTCTCATTCTGGCCCGCTATAAAGAGACTGATTTTCTTCTTTTTGCAAGGCATGCAATGAACTTCAGGTTTTCCCCACTGATCTTTTGTTTTAAAACCACATGTGCAAATACATACCGATAAACATTTACACAGAAATAGCAGTGTTGTTGTTTTTTTTTTTTTCCTCTGGTTTTGTCTTGCATGGTTTATTTCCTGTGTGTGTCCTCCACTTCTTCCAAAGGTTACTGAAAAGTGTTGGGAATCTGACTCACGTTTCTACAAGCTCTGGGGTAACATGCTGGGAAACAAAGCCAATTTTCTCCCTACCTTCTCTAGAAACATCTGATGAGCCAGTGTGTGGGACAAACTGGGATGATCCAAGTCTTTCTCCACTGCACTGCTGGGGAAACGCTCTGCAAAGAGGGAGATACCACAAGAGATTCATCCAATTTCCAACATCTGCACTGCAAGCAGTAGATTGTAATCAGTCAGAAAATAAGGACAACCATAAGGTAGGACACAGTACTTCAAACAGCGTGGGACTTCAAGCATCAGAGTGTCTGAACAACTGCTGTCCCACATTCTTTTTTGACTGAGACATTCTCTGGCCAACCTGATCTACGCTGCACAGACAACTGCTTCATCCCTCCCTATTTTGAGAACCTTTCTGCCCTCCCATGGCATTGTCTCAATAACTAAATACTGACTCCAGGACCTTCTCCCCACTCCTGCAGGTCCCTTCACCAAGTATGTTTCCATAAATCCTCCAGTAGGCCAAGCCATGGTTTATATATGCTTTCTGTGGAGCAGTGAGAGAGCGTAACAGCTGTCACTTAAAACAAGAAAGCCTTGAATCCAGTGATAGGCTGCCTATATCCAGGGGCTGGGGGAGAAAGACTAGGGATAAATTTGAGGTAGAGTAGAGCAATCTAGAGAATCTGGAGTCCAGCTCTGTGTCACCTGGTGTACACACACGTCTGGAGCCTGTATATAGTGTGTATACTCAAATAAAAACCAGGAATATAATCTGGCTAAAGAACCCCTAGGTCATTGCAAACAATCAAGTGAAGTAAAACGATGGGCTAAGCACAGGGCACTGCACATAGCCACGTGAGCCCAAAGCTCCCTCCCTCCCTGTCTGTGATGGTGGCATTGCATAAACCTGAGCCTCTTGCTGTCTGCAGTCACTGTGCTGTGCTCACCCTTGCTTTGCATTCTGCATCTCCCTCCTGAGTTTTCCCACCAGCTTAATAGAGTGTGCACCGGAGAAAGTTCCCCCCGGCCCCTACCCTCATGCATACCCAATCAGGTCTTCTGATTATGCAAATTAAATACAGTAACATCACCCCCTTGCACCTCTACCCCGCCCTATTCCAGCACAAAAAGGAGAAAAAAGTAACAAACCCTCCATTCATAACCAGAAACATTAATTATATGTAATGATGGGCAGTCAACTCCCCGAAGCGTCTGCATAATTACTAATGCTAATGGATTCAGAGTGCCTCTCTCCTCCTCGTGGAGGAAATTTAATTGGAAAACGCATAAAAGCGGGAGGAGGATGCTCTGAGCAGCCTGAAGTGGCACAGGCAAAGCAGAGGAGCTCTCTGGAAATGAAGGATGGAACCTGGTCACTCCCTATCGGCTCACGTGGCCAACCTACTGCTTCCTCCTCACCTGGTCCAGCATCATTACTGTTTCTGGAGACAGGCACTGGAGGGATCAAGGGACAGGAGTGAAGAGTGTTCCAGTTAGCTGCTTGAACCCCAAGGGGATTAGAAAAATCAGACTTAATGAAATCAGGAAATGCTCAACTAGATGCCTCAAAGACAGCAAGCAATGTATGCTCCTTTCCTTGGCAGTCAGACTCCTTGGGGCCTCTCACCCCACACATTTCCAACAGCTGTCTCTCCATTCCCTGTCTGCAGGTAGCTGCTCAGCTGCTCTAAGGCAGACTTCCCTTCTTTCCCTCCACCTCTGCCAGTTCCGTTGCCACCAGGCTCCGCTCCCCTTCCCCAGTAGAAACAGCCTCAAAGCAAACAGGGTGGTTGCAGCACCACACCAAGGATCTCACACATCCTCTGCAGCCTTAGGTGAATGTCTTCTCTTCTGTCAACCTAATGCTGGCTAAAGGAGGTGGCAGACCTCCATCTGATCCAGGCCCCCTCACACTGCTCCAGGTCAGCATTTCTCTATGGTCAACATTTTCTAAGGGGTCAACAAGAGGCTGCCTGTGAGTTTTATCTTCACTTCTTTCACCTATTCCCCCTTTTCGCTCCCCATCCCTCTAGAGCTTTTACCCAGTCTGGGCGCTCATCCTGCAGACAGCACTTGTGATGCGATGCTCCTTCCACCCCTCTGCCTGAGGCCCGGGTTCCTGAATTGAGATAAGTTTCATCCTGCATCGAGAGCAGCTGGTGAGGCAGCAGATGGCTGGGAATCTGTAAAAAAAAAAAAAAGAAAGAAAAAACTGGGGCTGTGACAGCAGCATTTTTATTGTTCACTCATTCCCACTGCTGCCAGACTGAATGCATATCAAACAGGGTACATGCCCTTGCAAACACTACCAGCCGACAACTGTGCAAAGTGGTGACAAAGCCATGCCAAGCTCCCCAGCCAAGCCCACCTCGTGCCCAGAGAGCACCTTGGCACCACTAAGAGACTCCTGTAGAGCAGTGCAGGGAGAAGTGGCCCCTTCAGCCTGCCCTTCCCCTCCAGCCTGCCCCTCTGCATCTGCCAGCAGCAGCTCAGCATCCAGTGGGACTGGACACTGCTCTTTTTCAAACTGTGCCTATAAAGCACACCTTTGGCAGAGCATAAATAATAAATAACAGCAATAATATGGTCCCCTGAGCAAAGCAACATTCCGTCAGCAACAAACCATCCTGTCTTTCCTTCTTAACATTCCAGTAGGTGCCCACTGCAGCCCCCTGCTCCGGGAAGGGTTTGCACATCTGCTTTTCATTGCAACCAGTGGAGAATTCAGGGGAGGTCTCAGCTGTGCAACCTCCTACTGTTGTGAGAAGAGTTTGGTTCACTTTTCATACTTGTGGGTGGGAGGGAGCAGAGCCAGGCACAATATTGCTGTGGCGATGAATCGTGCCCTTCCTGACTCCCGACTTGCAGAAGCAGCAGCTGCTCTGGGCCTGGGCCTCCATTTTAAATGCTGCCAACAGCACAGAAATCCAACTGACATCTACATGCTTCAGAAACAGTGCCTCAGGCAAGGCTGGGTGGAAAAGGTTTCAAACATCCTTGTCCACTTCTGCCTGCTCACCAGGGACCTCCTGCAGGAGCCGCAGAGCTCAGGGGATGCTGCATGTTTGCAGCACCTCCACAACACAGCTGAGCAAAGCCCACGGGAGCTGAAGTACCAGTACATGCCTGGGCATTTCGTACTCATGTTTGTTGGAGCGACTGATTCCACCTCAGTGTATTGTTTGAGCTGTCTGACTTTGTAATAAGCAATTCTGAATTTTACCAGTAGTCCCTGTTTGCTGTGGACTCCAAAAACCAGGGTGTAAACCACTTCCTGTGGGGGATTTCTAAAGTTCTTTGCCTACCGTTGGATTTGTTTGGTGCTAATGATGGCACATATGGGCATATAGAAGCTTTGCCTGCATCACAAGCACTTTGAAATCAGCCCTGGTGCACGTTTGATCCATTTTCCAATGCTGCAGAAGCACACGCAGTACTAGGCATACTTTCACTCCCTCCAACTAATTCCAAAGCAGCGGGTAGCTCAGCATCCCTGCTTCTTGAAAATGGCCTTTTTTCATTCGTTTATAACTACAGTAAAGAGAAGGTTGAATCATAGTAAATACAGGAAAAAAAGTGGGGGGTTAGTCAAGAGTTCAAACTGACAAATCTGAACTTGTAATAAAAAATTATCCACGCGTGTCTAATGAGAAAGGGAGAAACATTTTCTTGATCTTGTGCTAATCCCACAGCAGCCCACAGGCTGGAGAGGAAAGCAGTGAGGGCAGTTTGGTGTGACTTCACCCCAGAGCTCTGTTCTTGCTTTCTAGCCCCATTGCCCTGCAGCTCCTCCGAGCTCACCTGGGCTGGATCTGGGGGAGAGAGGAGCTGGAAGGTTTCCTTCAGAGAAAGCAAGTGCTCTCTCTCCAGGCCTGCAGTGAGGTGACAGCTTGAGAATGGAGGATATCACTGAGTGAGAGCTGGAGGACTGGAAGTGACTGAGAAAGGCACTTCAGATACCCACTTCCTTGAGGCAGGCTGTAGCGACTCCGGGCAGCTGTGGAAAGACTGCTTCACCTTTTCTTATTTGAGGTGGAGTGCTGATAAGTGATTTCAAGCAGCAGCACTTCACACTTCTGCAGCATCTTCGAGAGCAATGGACCCTAAGAGTCTTTAGAAATTTTAGATGGAAAGGGCCTCAACTGCCACTAGGATCCAAAAGACAAGTGGACAGGCTACAGCCACTTGTACAAGAGAAGCTCACCTAGAATATTGGATTTTCTGAGCCTGCTCATCTCTGCAGATGACGCCTCCCTATACTCATCGTGGCCTAGTTTCTGACTGTGCAAGTCCCAATGTCTGCGGGTTGCAGACCCACTGAGCAGGATGAGATCTGAAATGAAAACCAACACCAGCAGCTATTTCCTTGTGTTCTCCTGCTCTGGTAAGAACCCCAGTGTCAGTGGCAGCTTCTTAGCAATAGCTCAAGGTGCAGAAGACAATGCAGGAGATTCAGTATTTTGCAAGATGGCTGGATACGATTTTGCATAGAAGGGAGCTGTAATTGTAAGCAAACTCACAACAGGGTGTGCAGAAAATGTTTCTGGGTGGGACCTGACAGTCTGCCACCAGCAAGGCAGCATGCAAACAGGCACTGGAGGACTGCTACAGAACGGCTTCGAAGAACATTTCTGAAGATGGTTATTGGGTGGAAATGCAGAAAGTAACAAAGTGGCTCCTGTGAAACCGCAGCGGCACAGAACAGCGCTGCTCAGAGTTGTCTGCACAGATCTCTTGAATCAGTGGCAAATTAAATAACGCTGCTTCTACGAGATTAACCCACAGCTAAAACGCTGCATCTTCATCAGGCAAAATCTTTGTTTATTGACAAAAATATATTAACTTCTTTTTCAGTACAGGAAACAAAGACGTTCTGGAGAAGGACAATTTTATTTGTTGTCTCCGATGCTACAAATTTTGGAAATATCAAAATATTCAATAATCATTTTCAGCTACAACGTTGAAAAGGAAACCGCCCGTCATCTTCTTCATTACTTGGAAAGCAGCACTGAAAATTTCATTCGGAGTATTTTCAAAAGTTAAAGATTTACTGTAATGAAATTATTTAAATATTGGCAAAGTGTCTCCACTTGTAATTGGTAATGTTTATAAGCATTTGTATGGGGAGTTATATTCCCCTAGGCTGATGGAACACAAGAATAACTCATATGGCAAGTATGCTTCTGGATGCACCGTCCCTTCATCAAGAAGGCTGCATTCCTGAGCTTTAAATCTTCTGGCCTAATCTTTCCAGCATTCCCACAGAGCATTTCTATAGACTACGTGTGAAAAGATTTTTCTTAATGTTCATAAAATTGTGGTGTGAGTTTGGCGCAGGAAAAGAGGACGGGGTCGTTCTGCAGCAATTTTTAAGCTCTTTCAGGAAAATCAGCACTAGGAGGCACTTTGAGAACTCCACGCCACTTATGGGCCTGCCACAGCGTGCTAAAAGCTTTTTAATGGCACAGCTTTAAAATTAAAACAATGGCAAAAGACATTAATTGAAAGGTAAGTTACAAAGGGGAGCTGAAGACAAATTATTTGGCCATAAATGCAACTTTAAACTAAGAAAACATTGTGTCCAGAAAAAAAAAATAATAAAAAATGAAAAGGAACTGTATTCAGCAGTATGCATTAGCTCTCAAATGTCTCCCTTCACATCGCAATTAACTAAACTGCCTTAATCCAATCCAGCCGCTGAAAAAAACAACACTGTTGACTCCTCAGGAAACCATGACAATTACTCAAAGGCTACAATTTGTCAAAAAGCCTTGTGGAGCTGGACCCTGACTGCAGCATAAACTGAGAGACTCAATAATGTGGACGATGAGCGCAGAATTCAGCAGCCCTACAGTCAAAACTGGCCAATTAAAATTAAAATTCTGAGTCTCAATCCTTGTACCTTGCGGCACACATCACGTTCCTTCCTTCCTTTCACAGACATAGGAATAATATTTTCCTTGAGAAACAAACTTAGACTGCAGAAATACCGACTCTGAGTTTCAAGTTAAAGTCAATTTCAATTATACGTGCAAAGTGTTTTATGGAATTATTCTAAAAAACACAGCCACGTTGGAATGCATTGAAACGGCTAATAATTATTATAGTTTAGACATAAATTGACTCTTAGGGAAATGGAATTTTGTATTTGCAAGCAACGGAAGAGCAGACTGGAAATGCTAAGGAAAAGAGCAGTTCTTCAAAATGGCCTCTAAAGCAATCAGCTAATGAGGTGGTTGTGCTAATTCTTGAAGATCAGTACCTTGATTCCAGGAAATGATGATGGAAACTAATGTAAGGCATTCCCGCAGCCAAACACAAAGGTAGGGGACCACTACACAGCACAGGTTGTCCCTGCACAAGAGAAGCCATTTCCTTGCCCTCAGGTGTGGCAGAGACGCAGCCCATGCAACCTCCCTGACCTTGCAAAAGGGTCTTAGAGGAAGGATCTTCATCTTTCTCCAGACCTCCAAGGGTCATTCTGACAGAATGGAGCTCTGTAGGATAGTTACTTCTCCTGGTGGATACTACATCACAGTCTTTTTCTTATTATTTTAAATGTGTATTTTGTAGCAACACTTTAAAATGTTTGCTTTTGTGCAGCTTGAGGTTCTTAGCTTACCTAAGCTTCTGAGCATCAAGACCCACACAGCTAGGCACAGCCATCATGGGACTGCACTCTTCATCAACCCAACAGCAGCTCGACCACCATCTCTTGAATGTGCAAGTTTTACCCTGCAGTCACCAGCCCTGGAGGTGTTCAAGAAACGTGCAGATGTGGAACTGAGGGACGTGGTTGGGGGCACGGCGGGGACCGGTGGAGAGTTGGACTAGATGATCCTTAGTGGTCTCTTCCAACCTTAATGATTGCATGATTCTGTTCCAGCACAGTCAAGGAATAGTGAACACTTCCATAAGAACACCAACAGTTCCTGCCACTTTGTTGAGAGCTCTGTCCTTGAACTGCACTGAGACGTGCATCCCAGGTGAGCATGCATCTCGTGCACGTGTAGCTGCTGGTGCCACCCATGCATTTGCTTCAGCACCTGAAGCTCCTCACAGACGTGCTTCAACCAGGAGGGCACATGCAAATCCAGTATGCAGCCCAGAACTGCCCCCAGACCCACGTGTGCACAGGCAGCCTCCTCAAAATGCCCTCCTCAGCCAGGAACCTGGGTTAGATGCTTGAATAAAACATAGAAGATCTGTATTCCAGTCATGATTTCACCAGAGACTCTCTGTGTGACCTTCGGCAGGTCATTTAAGCTCTCTGTAAAAATAAGACTGATAACACTTCCACTATCTGCCTTGCCTATTTAGACCTTAAGCTCCTCAGGCAGAGGCTGCCTCGTACATGCATAGAGTCTGCAGCAGTTGGGGCCCCTAATAACTACTGTGATGAAGGTAATTATTAACAGGAACAATGCGAGCAGCACTGGCAGGGATGGAGTTGCTCTGTCTCCAAAAACACTGCAAAAGGAAAATAATAGAGAGCAGAAAGTTGTGGCCGAGCAGAACAGGGATATTATCAAATGCAAAAAATATTTTTGAGCTCTGTGATCAAACTGGAAGGCAGGCTTAGGGCCGGAACGAAAGGAATCACATTATGACCTGCTTGCACAGCCTGACAGCACAGCCTCGTGCGGAATGCACCAAGGCTTTTCCTTTCCATTATGCTTAGGTGCTGCGGTGGCAGCTCATTTTTCCTCCTTTTCATAAATGAAAATGTAAATGACCAGCAGTGAGGAAAGTCAAACTCTTGCAGGGGGGCTGCTCCCATGTTTTAGCAGGGCGCTAGGCATTGTGATTTGTCTGTTTGCCTGTTCTCGTTATCTTTTAATGTTAAAGACTTATGGAGAGCGTATTAAAAAAACCTGGCGTAGAATGACTATTTTAATAGAGCTGAAATGCACCTTTGAGAATAGTTTTGCTTTGCTTCTGCCTACGAGCTGAGAAAGATGCTGTAACGCCAATGCTGAGGTTTGCTGAAAAAATGTTTCCTGTTCCTGGTTCTCTGTTTCTTCTCCCATCTTTTGGCCTTTTGAACAACAGCACAAAGAGACCCAGGGGCCATGGTCACAGGGTCCCAAGCAGCAGCACTTACCAGCTATAAATGACCATGTAATACAGCTGCTCCAGCTCATTTCAGGCTGCTTCTCCAGTGAGCTCTGCCTGTGGGCTCAGAAGCTGCTTACAGGGTACAGCCCCAGTACAGGCACTGGGAGCCTGGCAGTGATTAGGTATGCTCTGCTTAAAAGGGAGGTGCAGGGAGGAGGGAGAAGCACGGCTGTATTTTTATACCCTGCCTTATTGAGTTCAAAATGGAACTTGAGACCTTTGGGCAGGATTTTGCTTTGCTGATTTCATTTTGGCTCCTGCTTGTTGGTGTGGTTTTGTTGCTTGTTGGTGGTGGCTTTTCTTTGTTTTGTTTCTTCTATTAGAAATTCAGTTCTTGTCTCGCCTGCTTTCTCCTGGAAAATTTTGTGGATGGATGGTGAACTAATAGGTTTAGGATATCAGAGGAGCCAATAGATTGAAAGAGTTCTGCAAATCACAAATAAACCTTTTTATCTAAAAAGAGGCATTTGCTGAAAGGGTACCACAAAGATGAATTCTAACCTAACAAATGTTCAGGCCTGCCTTTGCATAGCAGGAGGTGCCGAATGCTCAGAAAATTTGCTTCACAGCCCACCTAAAAATGCTGAGACAAGTGCAAAACCCATACGCACACTTACATGCGCACACAGAATGGTTTTTACAAGAAGCAAGCAGCTTTCTTTTGAATTCCTCTGTTCTTTATACTGGTTTTGGACAGACAGCACCTGATTCCACCACTGCATCGCTGGCTAAGAGCAGCTGATAACCAACCTCTTAGGTACTGAAGCCAGAAATGATGACTGAGATCACTTACACCACATTCACCTTTTTATACACAGACACACATGTATGTATGTTGCTTATGCCACAACTGCTTTCCGTTGTCACCACACTGCTACAGCAGTGCTGGCAACGGGACTCCATTACCACTTGTGTCCTTCAGCCCCTAAACCTTGTCATGGTGATGGGAAATAAGTATGAAAGAGTAAATCATTTCTACCTGATCCTGAAAGCTCAGGCAAACCTGCCACCTTCGAGTTTCCTGAGCAGCCATTTCCATGTGCAGAGCATGTAGATGAGGGAAGCTGCTTCCTTTCAAAGCCTAAAACCTGATCAGCTCTAAGGGAAAGTAAAAATAAAACCAGCCCAGAAGTGGCCCAGTCGCCAGCTGTGTGACATGATTGATCTGTCTCATATTTCCTCCTGCCTTCTTCATAAAGATCTTTCTGCTCCTGCCCAGAACCGAGGTGAACACCTGCAGGTTGGAATTCCTTCTGAGCTTCACAGAGGTGACAGTGCTCTTTCAGTGCCTTTCTGGGCTCTGTGATTCAGGAATGCTGTACCCCAATGGTACTCAGGCACAAGCATCTGTACAGAAAATTCATTAAGCCAATTGTAAAACTGAAACTCAATATCATGGAAATCTGTGCAGGCCTAAAGTTGAGAACGATCCCCAACGCTCTCCTGAATCAGGGCCAGGATAAGCAAAGAGCAGAGGAAAGGGAATTATTTCAGCTTTGTTCCCTTCTGGATGCTCCATATGCTACAGCCAGCTGTTCTGGGTTTGTTCATACTCACTACAGCGGGCACGCGTGACAGAATCTTACCTCCCTTCAGTGTGACTCAATCATATTGGGTCTCAAATGGTTTGCCCAAACCTCTGATGCAGTTTGTGTTCCCCCTCCCTGACTATATTTTCCCTAGTCTAAGTCTAATGGCTTTAATGACACACATCCTGAGAAGAAGAGGAAGGTTAGGTGGCTGCTCTCTCAGTCCATTCAGAGTATCTTCCCTTCCCTACTGCTCATCTACCATCTTGTAACCAGCTCAGCAAGCAGAGGGAATATGTCTCACTAAAAGGACATGCAAAACTGTTTTGAGGGTCGATGCCACAGCCAAGGGTCCCCTAAAGAAAAAACATTTTCCTTTTAGGACACGGCAGCAAAGCCCACCAGGCTCTGCTGACTCCATCAGCTCCTCTGCTCACATCACACAAACTGCACGTGCAGTGCTGGAGCTGCTGGAAGGCAGCTGCCAGAAACCACAGCAGCTCCTCCTCTCCCCGTGTCCTGAAAGGGTGTAAGGCAGGATTCCTGCAGCACATCCTTGGGTTTAGATACTCAGTGATCACAGAGCCTGACGAGCTGTACTGCCACCCAGTCAGCTCTGGCCCCACCACCCACACGAGGTCCCTGTCCCCTTTGAGTCTCCTGGCTGCCAGCTCCCTGTTCCCCTGGGAACAGAGCCCTGAGCACGGTGATAATTCAGCATAAGCTGTTCACAGAGAGCATTGCACAGCATAGGGCCAAATCCCCAACTCCTGGTTCAGGAGGATCTTCTGCACACAAGAGGCAGCAGCCTGCACATCCCAGAATCAGACCTCATTTATTCTCTGTGCCCCCCTAAGCTGCTGGGCAAAGTCTTTGGGATTTAGCATTATCATGCTTAACAAAAGTTGCAGCGATGCTTGCCCACAGCAGGTCTGAAATGTTACGACAAGAAGATTTGGCTGCTCTCCTGCTGCTGTCCCTAACCATCACATCTCCCAAAGACCCGCAGCCTTCTCTGAGCTTTTCTTTTCTTATTACTTTCACCCATTCAAACAGCAGAAATCCTTCTCCATCATTTTTTTCCAGCAGATCTCTTTTCCACTGGCTCAGAGTGGTTCCTCCCACCATTCCCCCACATGTTGTCTCTCAGCTTTAATCAAACTCACTTCCATGTCTCCTATTTGATTAGCAAAGTGCTGTCTGGCCCTCGGCCACCCTCCGAGCTGGCACGAGCAGGTGCAGCTCTGACAAAATGGCATCAGTCTGTGTGCACCCTGAATTGGACTCGTCTCTCTGACAGAGGCCGCTTGCTCCCAACTATTTCCAAAGTACAGTCTCATGCTTGCACATGTGACCTACACAGGAGAAATGGAGTCAGTTCTTGCCTCTCTAATGCACTCCTAGAATCACCCGATGCATAAGACACCTCATCCTACATTTCTCCTACCTCTTTGACACTTAAATGTAGTCCTTTCAGTTTGGATGTCAGCTCTGTAGGTCAGAGAAAGCAATGAGCCTGCTGAGTGCTGCTGTGCTATCAGAACCTGTATTGACTTTTCTCGCTGCTACCAAAGTGCTCCGCTGTTCAGGTGCTCTCTTGGCTGTTGTCCCATTGCAAGGCTCTCCCATTCAGAGTTCCCTTCAGCAAAGAAAAAAAAAAGAAAGCATTAAACATGGTGGCAGAGCCTGTCAAACATACAACCAGTGTCTGGCCTTCCTGCACTGATGCTGCTGTAGCACCACGCAGGTGGTGAAGGCTACCTGCACCTGGTGTAAATAGAGAGCATCTATGATCACACTATTGCACGTAACTTCAGCCCTATGTGAAGGCAAAAAAGAAACCAGCTCTCTTTCTTAGCCTTACTTTTCCCAGGCCCTTTGCAGAAATGCCCATCTGCAGATCCAACCTCAGCACACTCTCCAAGTCCTGGAGCACAGGCAGGTGCAAACTGGGGCCTTTTTAGAAAGAAAGATTTGTGCCAGGAGTATTGAAAACGTTTCTAAGCTACAGGCAACATCGTGCTGACTCACACTTCCACTGAGACCCAGTTTTCCAATGCATCAATGGAATCTGCCCAGTGACCCCCAGCTCTTTGATTTACTGGGTTTGCTTTAAGAGTGAAACCTTGTGATTTAGACACCAGCGAGACGAGAGCAGTGGAACTTTTTGCTTCAGGGTGCTGGATGCTATCAATTCTCCTAAGCCAAAGAAGTGACTGCACAAATTCAAGGAAGGAAACTCCAAAGCTATGGAATATAATGAAATTATTCTTGGCTAAGGAAGTGAAAAACCTCTGGAGGTGGAGAGCACACACGAAGGAGGTGCCACAACATGCTTGCCTCACATCTGCCTTCTTCCTTAGGCATCCACCTTTTGTCACTGAGGGAGAAAGAATACTTGGCCACATATACACTTGATCTCACACAGCACAGCTGCTCTTACACAGCTAACTCAAACAAGGCACAAATTCACACCTGCATCTCTAAACTACTCACACTACTGCCTGCTGCATCTGCCAGCCATCGCACCGCACCAGGAGCTGCAGCCAAGAGCCACGGGGTCACAGTGAATCATTTGATTCAGCACATATCAAAAAGGGCTCCTATCTAGGCATGGAGTCCTTCATTCACCTCCATTTCTTTAAACACCTAAGAGAGTACAGGAGGACAGCCATCCCAAACTCCTTTATGAACCAGTGAGAGAGGGCCTGGCCAGAAGGTGGTTGGCCATAAAAGGGCCTCAGCTCTTGTCTTCCCCCGGTGCAGTCACTGTGTGCTGATCCACCATGACCCCATCACCAGCACACACAGCTCTGCTCACAGCTTATTTGTATTCCTCAGCGTGGACAGGATCAACCCCAACTTCAGCATGTGCACATGCAGAGAACAATCTGCACCTCACCGCTCAGCACAAGATGAATGCACTTCCAGAGCCTAAGTCTTGCCTGGAAAACATATGGAAGAATCAGAAGACGGTGTCTCTGTGAGCACTGTGAGAACATGTGTTCTATCACTTTCCTGTGTCCCCTGTCACTGTGGATACATCCTCTCAGAGCAGCTCCTGCATTCGTCCACAGATGACCGGAGTCTCACTGCAATGGCAGAGAGAAGTGTGCAGGAGGAGGCCTCCTAAGGTCACAGTAGAGAGAACATCCACAGCTGCCCCAGCAGCTGTCAGGCTCTGCCACAAAGCCTTTGCTGAGGAGGTCTCCAGGAAAAGAAAGGGAATGACTGAGCATAGGGACTGTGTATGGGCAGCACGCACTGAGCTCCTCTGACCTACGTACTGAGCAGCACATCTGCTCTCTCTCTGCATGCAGAACAGCACACCGCCCCCTTCAGACGAAGCTCGGCCTCGTGCTGCAAAAACAAAGACAGGTGCTCAAGGCCAAAGCTTCTCCTTTTTTCCTCAGCAGCTCTGAAACACCAACCATACCTCAGCATCTGGCTGGGCAGCCTGGCTTGGGCTGTTCATCGCTTGCCAAGGAGACTGATTGACAGATTAGATCAGACACACCAATGATGGGCTGGGACATCTTGAAGCTCCATTTCAGGCCGCCTGCCGTTGCTGTTTGCAGCATTAATCCCCAGTGACAGAAGGCTCCCCAATATGCATAAACCAGCTGTGCTGCACTGCCAGTAGGACAACGTGTCATATGTGCTAAGGGAGCAGGAAGGGCTTCTAAGATGCCTTAGTGTATGCTAGGGCAAAATATCCCAGTAAGAAACTCTGCTACATGTGGGAAAGGCTGAAATTGCTCACAGAAAGTTCAAAGTAGAATAGAGAAGCCCCAGGGTGGGGAAGGGAGAGCTGAAGCCTCCCTCAAGATGGCCTATTTGTAACTCATCACAAAGCTTCCTATCAGGTGGAGATTTATAAAGCATTTTCCCACCACTAGAAGATCTCTAAATTCTGCAGAATGAATGCCAAAGAGCAGTGACAACATTAAGCCTTGATTGGGAAGGGTCACCTCCTGCACTGGCTGCATCATGTCTGCAGCCATCCATCAGCCCTGCTGTTCGCTTGCTGGCTGAGGGGACAGCCCCCGCTTCTCCCTCTTCTCCCGCATTCCAGCGTGACCTCTGCCTGATCTCCACTTGAAATGCTCCTTCTGCAGCCCCTCTCCCTTCCCTGGTGGCACATATCCCCACTGCTCCTGCCACAAAGCTATGAATCATGATAGAATAATAAGCCCGTTTATGAGCTGCACACAAGCCCAAAGGACCGAAGAGCGGAATAAATCGCTACAAAGCTCTCTAAGCCGATTTATTCATTCAACAGGTTTGTGCTTTCACTCCAGCCTCCTCTAACCGGTGTCCAAACAACGTGCAGTGCAACAGGACAAACAGCAACCTTCTTTCAAGAGGTTCGTTACTTTTGTCTTTTCAAGATCAAGAGATGAACTGACTTGTAAAGGCTCTGAGTCCCAGCGTGACAGCTGAACGCATCGCTGCTCTCCCCGAGTCTCAGGCTTGCAGTAAGGCCTGCAGCAGTGTGCAGTATGTCAATGAGCTGCTAACAGAGGTGGACGGCACACAGCTCCACCAGGGAGAGATACTGCCTAACCCCCAGGGTCCTCTTGTCCTCAGAATGGTGGACAAGGATTTAGTAATGGGCCTCTCTAGAGGTAGGAAGACTTTCACAGTTGAACACAGCTGTGTACTGACTGGTACAATCAGTATCAATAAATAAAAGGAGCTTTGCCCTTCACAACACTCTGCGCAGTTATCTGTTCTTCCAGATACCGCTGCAGCCATATGGCAGCTCAGAATCACTCCTCTTATCTCACAAAGAGGAAAATGAGGCAAGGCAGGCTGCAAACACTTTCCGAAGTTCGCCCTTTGGGGTAGAAGCATCCCACCATCACAGCGGCCATCGCAGAGGCTTTCTGATGTCATAGTCAGGGCAACAAAATTGCAGGAGCACAAAGCCAGCTCCCTGTATGCATCACAGTCTCTGCCCCCACCATCAACTTGGACATGATAAACAGAACGGACATCCTAAAGGAGCACATCAACCCAGCAATGAGCTTTTGATTGCTGATGGTTGTGTATGCCCTTCTTTCCCACCTCCCAGACCTCGAGAAAAAGTGATGTGCCTTCTTCTTGGAGCGCCAAGAAAGGGGGGAGGCTGAGGCTGGGTGTTAGGAAAAGGTTCTTCAGTGAGGGGTGGCTGGGCATGGAGCAGGCTCCCCAGAGAAGGTGTCAAGGCACCAAGCCTGTCAGAGCACGAGAAGTGCTTGGACAATGATCTCTTTTTTGGCTGTTCTATGTGGATCTAGGGGTTGGATTCGATCCTTGTGGGTACCTCCCAGCTCCAGCTGGTCTATGATTCTATGATATTTTGCCAGGCCTGTTATTCAGGCTTACCCATTGCCAGGCTTTTTAAGATGCTAGTAGGAAAGTTTTATTTCCTTAGTTTTTTCTACTTCTTCACATCTCACGTACAGAGAATTTGGAAGACATTCAGTATTCAGGATTTCCCATGTGAGCAGTCCCCCCAGAAATTGTACCCAACTACTCAAACCGAGTTTCTCCTTTACGGCCACCCCAATAGAAAGTGTGACCTAGTCAAACACACACGACCTGGCAACTAGAGATCCTGGATCTGTCACTGTCTTCCCCTGAATTATCTGCCTGGTTTGGGTGACAAGGTTTTCTCATCTGTAAGAAGTAGGTAGCAATCACCCCTTAAATGTTCATCTGTTACTTAGATTACAGCACACCCACGGGGGTCATATCTGAGGCACGCAGGTAGAAGTGGAATTTTTAGGACAAAAAATAGCCCTCTATACTAATTCATCAACACAACCCACTGAACGCTCATGCTGGGACACAGGAGAGGGACAGGGTTGCATGACAGCATACACTGCTCTCCCAGAGCCCCTCTGTACTGCTAGGTGCTACACAAATGCAGAAGTTTCTCTTATAGATGCTTTGGGTAGGAAATATGAAGGAGAAGGAAACAGCTAAAAGAAGACACAAGCAAAAACATCTATTAGCAAGTATCTTATTTAGTGACTGTAAATTGAAGGCACTATGGATGAGACATCAAGAGATCTCTCACAGCCCTTGCTGTTACTGTTTCACAAGGGCGAAAAGGAAGCCTTGAGGACGGTAAGTTGAGTCCTTGATTCATTAGTCCCTATAAAATCCCCAAAGCAGTACAGCCAGACAGAAAGCAGCAAATCAAACTGCAAGCAGCATCTCTCTGATCCGGGGTGGGGTTTACCCTTTGGGAGGCAGTTGACTACTTTCACTGATGTACTCTGCACCAAATCCACGAGATTTTCTGAAATCTCGCTGCAGAACAGTTGGCTTTCCTACTGCGTTGCCCTCATGCTGAGAGTATCCCCAATTTATCTCCGTGGGGATGAAAGGAACTGGGAGGAAGGCATTCAGTTTGTGCTGAAATTAATCCCTCTTTGCTTTCAGAACAGCCCAGGAATCACTCAGCTGCATTTTCGTTCATGGCTAAATGCTGGTGGAGGGTGTAATATGTGGCTTAAAGGAACAGCTTGCTGTGAACACACAACCGCCAGGCTCACGTTGTCTTTCTTTTGCAACACGACTCAAAGACACTGGGCTTTGAAGGGCTTTTACAAACCCCTTTCCTTTCGATAATTAAAAGCTGATTAT